AATAAAATACATGTAAATTATGATATATATAATATATATATATATATATATATATATAAATATATATATATATATATACTATAATATATATATATATATTATATAATATATATAATATATATATATATATACTATATATATAAAAATATATATATATATATAAATAAAAAGTCTTGCCGAATACATATATGAAGAGAGAAATAAAAGAAGGATAAAAAAGCAAAAGGAGATTATGAGGCTATGGTCGCAAGGGATTCAAAGACTAACCCAAAAGGTTCTTTCAGGTATACAGAAGTAAGATTAGGGACAAGATTGGCCCACTAAGATAACTCTGGTCAGACACTGACATGATAAGGATATGTGTGAAATTCAAAACCCCCATTTTCCTCTCAGTTTTCCCCCAGGAAAATACTAGCGTTTTTCCTGAAATAATGTTTACGTAAAACGGGTTGATAATAAACTATGTCGTTTGTGGTAATAGTGAATGGTCCCAGGCAAATAAGAACTAAACCAAAACAAACCCCCAGGTCCGATGTACTGTTTGAAAGAGTGTTAAAGGAATTAAAAGGAACTTAGAAACGTTTGGCAATCTTTTAACTATCACTACAAACGGGCATAGTCCCTGATAAGTAAAAAATGGCAAAGTAATACCTTTTTACAAAGAAAGTGACGGTCCGGGGCTTCGAACATAGATCAATAACCCCTTACCCATGGGGGAAAATTTATGGAATCAATAATTGCCGAAGAAATTTCGTAGCTACTTGACAGGCACAGTTTGATTATAAATCCAACACGGTTTTACAAAGGGGTTCCTGTCTACGAATTTACTATTTTTTTTTCCTAAAGTGTTCGAGGAGGAGATCATGGAATGAATTGATATTGTGTATAGGACTTCAGTAAGGTTTTTCGATAGAGTTCCCCTCACGAGGCTTTTGGGGAAATTTAAGGCACTCGAATAGGAGGAAAATTTTTTTTCCGGGGTAGAGGCATGGCTACAAATAGACAGCAGAGAGTTTGCATAAGGGGAAAAATCAGAATGGGGGAGTAAAGGGGGTTTTTAGGGGGTCAGTTTGGGCCCGTTTTATTTACAATTTCATAAACGAATAGATGAGGGAATAAATAGCGACATAACAAATTTGCTATTGACCCCAAAAAATAGGCCGTCCAATTCTTTAAGAGGACTTTAGAGTATCCAGGATCTTTTAAAAAGACTGAGCAATGGCAGAAAGGGCAATGCAGTTTAAAATTGAAAAATCAAAAGTTCAAAATTTTGGACATTTAAATAACCATGCCAATATAAACTAAAAAATGTAGATCTTAATACTACCGTTTGCAAAAAGGGATTTGGGAGTTCTGTTTAGCAGTAATTTAAACCAAGAAAACATCTTTAGTTTTTCAAAATAAAGCTAAGAATTCTTGGCTTATATCAAAAAGTTAAATAATAAAGTCCTCAGGTTGTTCTTCAATCATATATCCTTGGTTGGGCCTCTTTAGACTATCTGCCGTTTGGCACCGTATTACAGAAAATTAAATCTCGGAAAACGACAAAGGGGGATGAAAAAGAGATCCCATGTATCAGAAATCTTCCCTATGAGGTGACGAGGACCCTGAATCGCACTCCGGGAAAGGCGTAGAATAGGGGGGATATGATCGAGGTGTATAAATGGAAAACAGGAAAAAAAAGGGGGAATAAATAGTGTGCTTTAAATTTCCACCCAAAGAAAAGGACTCGAGCAATTTTTTCAATTTGGGAAAAATTTTAAATTTCGGGAAGGATATAGGAAAGTAGGGTTTTGGTAAAGATTTTGTGGATGGTGAAACAAACTCCCGAGTACAGTTATGAGGCTAAAACGTTGTGTAGTTTTAAAAATAGGTTAGATAAATACATGAGTGGGTGTGGGTGGGGTAAGTTGGACCTGACTAGCTTGTGCTGCTGGGTCTGGTACAGTGCTCCATCCTTGAGTGGGGATGCCCCACACTGGGGGGTCATTGGGCAAATCCTGGGATGGTCATTGGTCAAAACCGGTGGGGGACATGGACCTGCTCTGCATGGGTCAGTAGGCTTGTTGCAGTGTTCCTTCTTTCTTATGTTCTTATGTTATTACGACCTTCACTTCTTTTATAGTCTTTTTTTCATAATTTGAAAGTGGTTTTAGTTTTCTGTTCAACTATTTCATATCATTTCTATTCTGTCTTAATTCTCAGTAAGGAATATTTATTCTTTCAGCAGTTTGCATAGTCTGCCATTATGTTTAGTTTTCTTCGTTATTCCAGTCAACAGATGACACGAGTTCTACAAGTCTAGTTTAATCTGCAGAATCAGTATCTGGCACCTTCCTTTCGTTAACCCTGAACCCCACATTAAAAAAACGGCGGCACACGGGATTATTCCCCCGTTTGGGGGAATTTCACTCACGTATTTAAAAATTTTTTGGGGTTAAATTTTTATTCTCATTTGGAGAAAAAGTTACTATATAGTCTTATGTAGTCGACAGGCTCTAAACCCAATTAACCCTTAAGAAACAAGTGTAAAGCCATCACGGAAACCCTCTCAAATACAAAAACTTTTAAAAACAACATCCTCCTCCCATGTTACTCATTGTGTTTATGTTTTGTATTCGCTTGCAAACTAAAACATTCCCTTTAAAAAATCTATTAAGTTTCATGTGAAAACTTTTTTACTGTTGACGTATTTTAATAGTTAATGAAAAAAAAAAATGGTTATAAATAGACCCAAATTTTTTAAAGGGGGGGAGGGTAAGCCAGCGGAAGGCCCGGTAAGGCCAAAAGCTACAAAAAGGGGGTCTTTATTGACTAAATCCTTGTCAGGAAAAAAGGACAATGTTTCTTTACTTAATTAAAATTTTTATACACTCCTAGCAAATCAGAACCTCGAACGTCTGATGTTCCTGGATATGAGATAGGAATAACTTTACTGCAAAAAAATCAGGGAAACCGGTTGATTTAACTATGGGGGAGTGAGTCCCTTAAACCATGGGCCAGCTGGTACAATAAGATTTGTCCAATTAGGTATAAATTTTTAAAACAAAGGGGGGTTATCAAGGCCAAGCTGTGACCATAAAAAATTGGGTTTTTTAAAAATGAATCTCACTCAGCGGGCTAGTGTGTTCAAGTCTCACGGTCCCGTGGTTTGTTTGAATCGTAGATTACTATTTCGTGAGTCATGTGTGGCTCTGAAGCTAGAGTTCACCCCAGCCGCTTGGTTGGGGGTTCCTGTAAAAAACCCGCATTTGGGCCACGTGGGGCCCATGCAACCTCCCTAGGTGTATAGAAAAAAACCTAGTTGGGTGAATCTTATTAAACCGCGGCCCCGTGGTCAATCCGACCCCCTGATTTCTATGACTCACCTGCCATGATTAAACCTCACCCTTTCCATGATTTATGTACGTGGGTTGTCTCTGAGCACCACTCCTCTAGTGTTCTTGTTCATGTGACATGCCATAAAGCACACGAGCTCTTTTGTGGATAAATATACTTCCATTTTGAACTTCCATCTCATTTTATAATTGGATTTGTGATCGGGAAGTTGAGTCTTTAATGTGGACAGGTAACCACCTGGTGTAAATGGCTCAAGCTTGTGTTAAAAAGTTATATTTCATCTCTGATCCAACACAGAAGCGGAAATTCTCAAGTACCTATTAACGTAACTTAAGATAATATAAGTAATATAGACAAGATAGTAAGATAATATAAGCAATTAGCAAACAGGTAAGCAAGTAAGCCACATTTGGAAAGGGTAACCAATGTTAGCACTTTGGATAACTTGAGAAAATTAGACAATCATACAAGTGAAAAGTATTGGGTATGACTGAGCACCTGCCTAGGATAGGCCAGTAGGCCTGCAGCAGCGTTTTTCTACTCTTATGAAGAATTCATGAAATATGGTGTAATGATACTGAATCTAAGCCATTGTTAATATTTATTTCTAATTTTCACTTATTTGTCAAATGGTCAAGACTGAAAATATATTGTAAGAGGTGCATTAAATTTAAGGGTAAACAGAATGTATAATTTTATTGTAAAAATGCATGTACTAGGTAAAATATTTTTGGTGCTTAGATGTTTAACAGACGGTCTTTGATCCCTCTGGTCGTCCTGTTGAGCACGTAGTTAAAAGAAGGATCTTTGTGTCTCTATTTATCAGAGGGGTTCTGATCCTTTATTTTATAGAGGATCTTAGGGCCACGTTAAATAAAGGGGTTTCTAGTTCTTTTTTTTATTAATTCTGACTCCCTGTTTAACAGAGGGGTATCTGACCCCTTGTGTAACAGAGGGCCTGTGACCCCCATGTTTAGCAGAGGGGTCTCTGACCCCTTGTTTAGCAAAGGGTTCAGATCCCTTGTTTAACAGAAGGTTTGTGACAGTTTGTATAGCAGAGGGTCTGTGATCCCTAGTTTAACAGAGGGTCTGTGACCCCTTGTTTAGCAGAGGGTGTGTGACCCTTTGTTTAACAAAGGGTCTGTGACCCCTTGTTTAACAAAGGGCCTGTGACCCCTTATTTAACGAAGGGTCTGTGACCCCTTATTTAGCAGAGGGTTGTGACCCCTTGTTCAACAGAGGGTCTGTGACCCCTTATTTAACAAAGGGTCTGTGACCCCTTGTTTAATAAAGGGTCTGTGACCCCTTGTTTAACAGAGGGTCTGTGACCCCTTGTTTAGCAGAGAGTCTGTGACCCCCTTTTTCAGCAGAGGGTCTGTGATCCCTTGTTCAACAGAGGGTCTGTGACCCTTATTTAACAAAGGGTCCGTGACCCCTTGTTTAATAAAGGGTCTGTGACCCCTTGTTTAACAGAGGGTCTGTGACCCCTTGTTTAGCAGAGAGTCTGTGACCCCTTGTTCAGCAGAGGGTCTGTGATCCCTTGTTCAACAGAGGGTCTGTGACCCCTTATTTAACAAAGGGTCTGTGACCCCTTGTTTAATAAAGGGTCTGTGACCCCTTGTTTAACAGAGGGTCGTAACCTGGTTAGCAGAGGTCCCCTGTTCAGCAGAGGGTCTGTGATCCCCTTGTTTGCAGAGAGTCTGTGACCCCTTGTTCAGCAGAGGGTCTGTGACCCCTTGTTTAACAGAGGCTCTGTGACCCCTTGTTTAGCAGAGGGCCTGTGACCCCTTGTTTAACAGAGGGTCTGTGACCCCTTGTTTAACAGAGGCTCTGTGACCCCTTGTTTAACAGAGGGTCTGTGACCCCTTGTTTAACAGAGGGTCTGTGATGGTATTCAACAGTGTGATTCCATTTCCCTGAATGAAAGAAGGTTATTGTCTCTCTGTTTCACACAGGATCTCACACTCAGCGTTGGCCTCACACTCTCCTGTCGACCTGTTGAATATCAGAGAGTTGGGGCACAGGAAGAGGGCTATAGTCGGAGGTGTGCATAGGTAAAATTGGTGACAATCCGTAGGGTCTATAAGAAGCTGACCATCGTAGGTACAGTGTGGCAAGCACATATCACAGTAGTCGTAGCAGAGAGTTGAGTCAGTCTGGCACTTGCTCTTTCTGAAATCAAAATACGGTGCATCTGATGGACAGTCGAACTCCAAGAAAAGTCCAGTTTCTGCCAAACAAACGTCATATTTTGAGCAGGATAGCGGATTGGGTTGCGCAGTGCACGTTTTTTCCCATTACATTCTGGGATGCAGGGTCAAAAAGTGGGAGCAGAAGGTGGCAGGAGCCCCTTTTAAGGGGTGAAACGAGGACAGTTGGCCATCGTTGAAGTCTGACCGCTCGGACCTCTTGGGCCCTTTTGATGGGTTTCACTTTAAATTAAGATTAGGATAATACTTATATTAAAATTAAATGCCAAAACCCAAAAAACCCCTGCAAAAATTTAAACCCATTCCCCCATTTTGAGGCAAAATAAATTGCTAACCTTAAAAGGGGAAGTAATAGATTTAATGAAAAGGAAAGTGGAGGATAGCATGCTTCCTTAGATAAGAGCCTCAGTTAGGCAGTCCTTGGAGCGGGGAAAAAAAACTTTAAAGGTTCTATTTTCCAGCTCTTTAAGGAAACTTCTCAGAAGTTTAGGTAACAGGAAAATTTATGTAAAAAATTTTTCCTCGTTTTATTAACACTGGAGATTTTAATTCGAAACCAACAATATGATTGTTTATTTCAATCCTTTAAATTTCCCTGAAATGACCCCCTTAAGGGAGGTTTCATGATGTTATGATGATGGGGGTTTGATGCTAAAAATAAAAACTCCCCCCTTCCCTTTCCCTTTGGTTTAAAGATGAACGCCTTCTTTCCCCAGACGCTAAAAAGTTCCCCGATGTTAAGCCAAAATTAAAGGTTAAGAATTTGCCCATTTTCACTTTCCTGTCAGACACGCAAAGTTTTGGGGTTTAAACGGGAATTTTTTCCTTTGGGCATGCCTACTTCCCATGCGGTTTTGTGCAGTGTGAACCACCTACGATGCTTTACCTCATTGTCTACGTAAAAAAAGCCACTTTTTCGCAAAAATACGTATTTTTTTTAAAGGACTGGGTTGTTACACGATCAAGGGAGGGGCTGATTATTTGAATCCTGTTCTTCACCATTCCCCTTTTGTATGGACTGATGAAGCCTTGTGTGGAGAACGTTTCCTATATGATCCCCAAGGTTGCACCCGTGTCTAATTTATAAGAACATTCTGGCTGTGGGTGACTCACAGGTAAGATATATGGACCCCGTTTCTGAACGGTGGGAAATGTTGCAGAGAGGTGCTTCCCACGAGCTGGTGTTGTGACATAGTCAACAGGTTGGATAATTTTGTCAGGTAGAGAAACAAGCTCATTTTTGTTTAGTTGGGAAAAAAAGCCCCAAAAGTGCAACAATGGACATTTATTGTGGAAAGTTTCGCTCCAGGGCTTTATAAAGGGTAGGGCTTGATAAAGGCCATTTTAAAATCCAAGTTTGCTGTGTCTGAAAAGAATGTAGAAAAATGGTTTCGGGCCCGAAAAAGTTTGATGAATTTGACAGGGGTTTGAAACCCTTGGGGGATCTTTATTAAAGGGGAAAAAGTTTCGCCACACAGTGGCTTCATCAGCGATCAAGAAGAAGGGTGAAGAACAGAAGGTTTGAGGTAATAAATCCTCGGCCTTGAGTCGATGTAATCGGTTCTCAATTTTGAAAGAACAGCATAAGGTAAAGGAAATTTGCTAATGTACTGTAGACAGATGAGGGGAAGCAGTCATAGGTATTATACACTTGAAAAATTCCAAGTGAAGTAGGTCAAGTGTCTTTAGAAACTATTGTCGGAAATTTACAGCATTAATTCAATCTGTCTTAGTTATAATTAGGTCTAAGGGGGGGTCCCCAATCATCTGTAGCCTCTTCCCTAAAAGGTGCGTGGGCAATGAATGAATGTTAGGGCACTAGGGTATGGGGGGGGAAAATTTTTTTTTATGGAAAAAACGTGATATGTGTGCAAGGGATGGTGTACATCTTCATGGGGCCGAGTGGTTGCTTTTAACCAACTCGGTGAGGGGGAACCATTCTAAATGTCTGGCTTTAATCTGATGATTATGGTTGGGTTTTGTTGGAAAACAATAAAAGCTGTAGCCTGGGCGGAAAACGCGTATTACCGGGATCCTCAGGATATGTTTAATGGACAAATTAAAATAAAGTTGATAGTAAAGCAAAGCAACTGATCAACAAAGAAGAAGAGCAGTAGAGGGCGAGAGCGACTAGCCCCCTTAGATTTGCTTTATAATAGTAGGAGTCTAAGAAATAAGATGATGGCTAAGTTATTTCATGTGGGGTAATATGTTTTTTTGCTTTAACGGGGACCGGTTCACCCTGAAAGAAAAAAAATCCCTTTGAACCACATAAAAGGGCTATAAACTTTCATCTTACGGGTCAACAGGAAGGGGTGGGGGAAAGTGGCGATGTATTTTTGAGAAATTTAATTGTTGTGTTAGAAATTAAAAGTTAGAAAAACATCGGATACAGAATTGTTTGGTACAGTTTGAGGGTCGTGACAAAAAATTTTTTTGGATGGAATATAGGCCCGCCTTGATGGGGAGTGCAGTAAGTTGCTGGGGACGCTTCAAAAGGCATTAGAATGAAAAATGTTGTGTTAATGGACAGTTTTTTAACTTTAAACATCTGAATGAAAAAATATGACAGGAAATTTTTTGTCTGTGTTTTCTTGTCTTCAAGATTGTTTTTAAAACAGTTTGGGAGAACCCAAAAATAAAGGAAAAAAACTGCTGGACTTGGTGGGAAAATTTTTAACTCTTATTTCTGCTCAGTTTTTATGCGGGAAGTTAGCGAAATTCAGAAAAAAATAAATTATGTAGACAAGACGATACTAAACTATGCACGATTAGGGTAACTGTGACCGGTCCTCGAAAATGGAAAATTAAAACACAACAAACCCCCAGCCCCAAAATTTTTTGAAGTTTTTTAAAGGAATATAAAGAGGAATTAGAAAAACTTTGTGACTCTTTTCAACATTATACAAACTGGCATAATGCCAGACAAAGGGAAAAGGGAAAAAATGAATAAATATTTAAAAAGCAGGAGGGGCCCCTAAGCTTGAATTTTGGGAATATGGAATCTTGAGTAATGAATTCAGAAATGAATCTAAATAAGAATTCATAGAATTGAAAATGAATCTCGCACGGTCTTACAAAGGGGCGTTCCTGCCTTACGAATTTGCAACTTTTTTCAAAAGGTATTCGGAGGGAGTTATGGTAAATTTAAACGATATTGTGTATTTGACTCAGTAAACTTTTGATAGAGGTCCCCAAACCGGGCTATGAGGAAAATTAAGGACATGGAACAGGGAAAATTTTTCCTGGGGAAGGTGTGGTTGACGCACGATGGGGTGCATCCAAGTGTTGTTCCAAAAGGGGGCACGTTGGGCCCCTTTTTTGTTCAAAAATTTTTATAAGTCCATTTATGAGGAAGATGCAAAATAAGCAAGTTTGCTGTGACAACAAAATAGGCCGTCAAATTTATTTAATGATGAATTAGAGCATCCAGGGAAAATTTGAGTAAAATGATGCAGTTGTTGGAGAAGTGGAGATGCAGTTTAATATAGAAACAATACAAAATTTAAAACATTGGACAAGAAAAAAAAAAAAAGCCACATTTAAAAAATAAAAAAGTAAATCTTAATATTGATTGCAAAAAAGGGTTTGGGGTTTGTTTAGCAGTAATCTTAAACAAGACGCAGTGCATAAGTGTTTACAATAATCGAACAATCCCTTTGGTTTATCAAGGAGTGTAAAAATGAAGTCCTCAGGTTATTCTTCAAATCATTATCCCTTTGGTTTTGGGGCCCCATTTAGTTTTGCACACAGTCCTGGTCACAATTACAGAATAGATATAAATGTACCGGAAAAGTACAAAGGAGGAGACAAAGTTGATCCCATGTATCAGAAATTTCCCTATGAGGATAGACGGGGGCCTGAATCTGCATCTCTAGAAGACTTAAATTGAGGGGTGTGCTGAGGGGTATAATGGAAAAAAGGATTTAAAAAAAGGGAATGTAATAGCGTGCTAAAAATTTAGCCAAGACGAGCTCGCAGAAATGGCTTTAAAGGACAAATTCAGATTTAGGAAGGATGGGAAATCCTGGTTTCGTAATAGAGTTGTGGATGAGTGGAACAAAATTTAAAGTACCTCATAGAAGCTAAGGGTTGTGAAGTTTTAAAAAAAGGGGTTGGATTACAGTGAGTGGGTGTGGGTGGGTGTGAGTTGGGGCCTGATAGCCTGTGCTAATAGGTCTGTGATAGTTCCTTTTTTAAGTGGGGTGTGACCCGAGCGACTAGGAGTGTCTTTGGTTGAAAAACCGGGGGACTTGGGCCTGCCTTGCTGGGCCCGTAAGCCCCTGTAGTTTCCTTCTTTCTTATGTTTTTAATTTTTTTAAAAGGGGGGGACCGGTAAGCAGCGGAAGGCCTTTTGGTAAAATGGGCCAAATTTCCCGGGGGTCATCATCTGACTAGCTGATCGGGATACTTGTCTGTTTCCGAAGAATCTTAACCTAATCAACCTCAATATGCTTTGATTTGGATAGTAAGTAAGTAATAAATTTTTTTAGGTTACACAAAACAGTTACATAGAATTATCATACAAAGCTAGTGTAGAAAACCAGGAAACCCAAAAAGTCAGAAGAGTGAATTATTTTTCCCTTTTGGGGCCTTTTTCCTTATTATTTTAATTAAAGGTTATTTAAAAATTTTTTTATTTTTCTACAATGAAAAATAAATCTTATCATATAAAAAGACTATCTACTACCGAGGGTCATTAAAATACTAACGGGGTCAATAAGCTTTACAATACGAGGGTCATTTTAGGAATAAGGTAAAAATTTTCAGATTTTTGCTAAAAAATAGAAAAACATTTCCCCCCCTTTCTGTAGCTACATTCATCAGAAACCTTTTGGCACTCTTCTTGAAAAATGGTTCTGCTATGATGGCTTTCATGTGCGGGGAGTCTGTTCCCTTCTTTATTGCGTACAATAAAAGGTGTTTTAGCTTGGCCACGACTGTGGGTACTACAAGTTGTGCTCTCTCCCCCAGTTCTTGTTGCTTTTGGGTTCCCAACCTTGACAAAATTTCAGCAAGTATTGCAACACAAAAACTTAATAGATAAAATACCCGAAACATGCCCCACTTATTAGACTTTTTTCCTGCAAAAATAATACACAGAACTTAACAAAGGTGGTCCAAAATTTTCTCAAATAAATATATAAAGAAAAATAAGTATTTTTCCCCCATGTACATTGGAACCCCGATAACGGTTTCTCCATTCCTGACCAGTTCGTGCTCAATTTGCTCGTTTAATCAAAACAATCTTCCTCATTTAAAAATTTAAATTTTAAAACCCTTCCCCTTCCAGCAGAATTCCCGCTCTTGGGGGAGGGGCAAAAATTCGTTAACGCTAATAAACTTGGTTTTTTTATCTATTACAATTATTAAAATGACAAATAAACAATATAAATAAAAGAAACATGATTATTTTCTAGATAAAAAAAAGTCATTTTGGACTTTGGTGGGGCCATTCCCCCTCCGGGTCAGACCATATCTTCCAACTCTTATTATGAGAAAAAAAAAAGGGGTTGTTTTTGGGTCTAATGCACTGATCACTGTTTCATAAAGGGGAAAACAATGGAACAATGTTTTTTTTAAAGGAAAAGTAATATTTACCTTGGAGAAGTGCTGGTGGAAAAAAAATACGCAGAGTCCAAAACCCCCGGGACACCTTACGTGTTTATCTTGTTTCATGCTTTAATTCTAGGAATCTTTCTATTTCTTCCCGGCCTATCCTTTGCAATTACTTTTTTGGGCCCATAGTTAGAAAAAAGAAAATTGGGAAATTAACTGCAGAAAGCAAGTGAAACACAAAATAAAAGTTCTATAGCAAGGAACCGTGCATTGTCAGCCCGCGCAATAGTGGCGCGGGCTGAAGTTCACTCGTTATTATTTTTATTATTATTGTATTAATTTTTGGGAACTGAAGCTTGCTCTTTATTGTTATTATTATTATTATTATTAATTTAGGGAACTGGAGCACAGATCCAATTCCCTAGATCAAGAGCCCCTCACCAGCATTGATGGGGAAGCTTGTTAGTAACTCGGATTTTGGCTCGTAACTCAGAGCAAAAATTCAACCGAGCGATGGCTTGTATCTCGAAAAACTCGAATGTTGGAGCAATAGCATCATTATGACTTTTACAATATATACTCAGAAGCAGCGCTGTGTGATCTCTGTGGGTTTAGCACTTATTTATGATTATAATAATAATATATATTTACAAATGACCAAATACTGGCAGTATTCCTTTTACCCTCACATAGTCGATCAATGCAGAAATTGTGGAAATTTTTCTTGCAACATAGTTTTTTTTTCTTTTGTGGCGAGAAAAGACTTTTATTATATAAGTACAGCCCTTTAAATATTCACTTGGCATTGCTCCATCATTAGAAAGTGGCCAAACTACCTTTGACATTGTCTTGCAACAAATGTGTTGCCAACTGATAATTTTTAATTTTTTCTACTAGGAGGTGAGGGCCGCTTTTATTGAAACTTTGAAGTTATCTTTATTACATATATCCTGACACAAAAAAAAAAAAAATTAAGCGAAACTCTATGACAGGAACGAGTCAGTGTTAGGAGGTCATACTTCCCTCAAGTATTCAAATTCAGATCCTTTCAGCAAAGAGTTGAATGCTTTACCATGGAGCTACAGGTCATGAGACTTGCTTCTGGTGGACACAAATGCAAGATACCGACAGCTTGTAAAGAATAAATGTAATTGAATCCATTATTACTTAATGAAAACCAGTGTTAGGTGAAACGTTGTACAGGTAAATGATTGTACTCTATTTGTGTTTTTTTTTTTCACCAGACAAGCTCTTCTAACCATCGCCACGTCCCATGTCCCCGGCTCTTGGAATGGAAAAACCTTAATTTACACTTTAGAGTGGTTTCCTTATTACTAATCAACTTAAATTATTATTATTATTATTATTACATTCACGGAAAGCGATAAACTCATTAGGGTTCATACTGAGCTTGGGGGATCATTTATGATCCGATAAAAGGAAACATAGCATTTATTTCTTGGATGAAGTCTCATCAACTTCAAAGCTCCCTCTAGAATTTTACTAAATCTTGCATATAATAAAAATTACTATTGATAGTTTTGCTTATTACCGTGTATACTGAGACAGACGTAGTATCTGGTGCAGTCAGTTGGGTCCCTCACACTGATGCCTGGGTCCACAACTGAGCAATCTGGGGCACACACCTCCACGCTCAGTCTCACCTGTCAACAATGAGAAAATTAACTTGCTTCACATTTTTAGTGCCCTGTGACTGTAATAAAACTAATAGAAACGAAAGTTAAATTTTGACACAAGTTTGCCAAAAACAACCTTTCCAGGATGACCTGGATAGGTTGTGATCTCACAAGTGGTTGATACAGTTCACTGCTGACAGGTGCAAGATTTCAGTCCTAAGAAAGGAAAAGTACTGACACTTATAACCAAAATAATGTACTGTAGATCTAAGTGAAAGTGAATGCGACGAAATTTTAGGAGTTCTGGTTAAAAGAAATTTAAAGCCATGACAATAGTTTATAAGTGTTGGCAATTAAGTTTACAGATTCCTGACTTCATATTATGAAGTATAAATACCAGAAGCTCTAAGGTTATACTTCAGTTTCATACATTATGATTTAGGCTTCAGTGAAATTAGTTCTCAGCTAAATCTTAAATAATGGATATAATTGCACTGGAAAAATATGCAGAACAGCAAACGAAGTTGATTACACTTATTAGAAACTTTCTTACGATAATAAGCTGAAGGAACTGAATATGTTCGTTCTGGAAATGCGTAGCTACAGGAGAGATCTGACTGAAGGGATCTCTAGCAAACATGAATAAATAAAGGGTTATCAGCAGCGTGCTGTACATATGTAACTAAGATAGGATATGCAGCAATGGATTAAAGTTGGAGAAATTAAGATTTAGAGCGGATATAGGAAAGTAATGGTTTGACAATAGAGTTGGGGGATAAACGGAACAAACTCAGAAGTATCGTCTTTAAGGCAAGCATTTTGGGTAGCATTAGATACAAGTTAGAAGGGTACATGAGTGAGTGTGGGTGAGTGTGTTGCAAGCTAGCCTAGCATAGACCAGGAGGTTGCTGCACTGTTTCTTGGTTCTTGGGAAAGACAGACACAACTCATTTTACCGATGTTCTGCATTGCCAGTTACCTTATTCATATCCGTTAAAATAATAAAAGGATTATGACTTGGTTGACGTACAGCTGGTGACCTGTGTGATGTAAAATATCAACATGGCTCAAATTATGACTTGTTTGACGTATAGCTGGTGACCTGTACGATGTAAAATATGAACATGGCTCAAATTATGACTTGGTTGACGTACAGCTGGTGACCTGTATGATGTAAAATATCAACATGGCTCAAATTATGACTTGGTTGACGTACAGCTGGTGACCTGTATGATGTAAAATATGAACATGGCTCAAATTTGACTTGGTTGACGTACAGCTGGTGACCTGTATGATGTAAAATATCAACATGGCTCAAATTATGACTTGGTTGACGTACAGCTGGTGACCTGTATGATGTAAAATATGAACATGGCTCAAATTATGACTTGGTTGACGTACAGCTGGTGACCTGTATGATGTAAAATATGAACATGGCTCAAATTATGACTTGGTTGACGTACAGCTGGTGACCTGTATGATGTAAAATATCAACATGGCTCAAATTATGACTTGGTTGACGTACAGCTGGTGACCTGTATGATGTAAAATATCAACATGGCTCAAATTATGACTTGGTTGACGTACAGCTGGTGACCTGTATGATGTAAAATGTCAACATGGCTCAAATTCTTCATGATGATAAATAAAATCATTATCATGTTATTTACTGTGGGATAGATAGAGATATGATACTTACTGTGGGATACTTATTAACACATTACTTATGGTGGGATACTTTTTAGCACAATACTTATGGTGGGATACTTTTTAGCACAATACTTAGGGTGGGATACATATTAACACAATACTTATCACAGGATACTTATTAACACAATACTTATGGTGGGATACTTATTAACACAATACTTATGGTGGGATACTTATTAACACAATACTTATGGTGGGATACATATTAACACAATACTTATGGTGGGATACATATTAACACAATACTTATGGCGGGATACTTATTAACACAATACTTATGGTGGGATACTTATTAACACAATACTTACGGTGGGATACTATTAACACAATACTTATGGTGGGATACTTATTAACACAATACTTATGGTGGGATACATATTAACACAATACTTATGGTGGGATACATATTAACATTGTTATGCTTATTTCAGGATATTTTAAATGTACCTTAAATTCCTCATGGACAATGTTTATGTTTCTTAATGAGTTATAAAGATTTTTTGTAAATTCTACTGCAAACTTTAGCTATTGATTGAAGTAAAAACTTACGCCAAGAAAGAAAATCAGCATGAGAGAGTACTTGCTGGGTATCATGATGACAGTGATAACTGTGATCAGTGACTGGTGCTCCCAGACAGTGATAACTGTGATCAGTGACTGGTGCTCCCAGACAGTGATAACTGTGGTGATGGTTCCGCTCAATGTGTGATTTTCCATCGACACGAACTCTTTTATATCACACTTCTCTATCTCACCCCCACCTCACCCGTAACACAACCTTCCCACTATACCCCCACCAACACCAACAACTCCCACCAACACCAACACTCCCCATCCAACCGTCTCAATCACTCTCCTACACCATCTCTCCTTCAATCAGAGCTAATTGCTTAACATTCCCTTTCAGTACACAAATAACCCACACATAGGAGAGAGCAGCTTATGACGACGTTTCGGTCCGATTGGACCATTTACAAAGTCTCTCCTGTGTGCGGGTTATTTATGTATTGTTCTAGTCACGGTATTGTGCCTGTTTTCGTTATTCCCCTTCATGTTAAGCGCTTTCCCATTAATACAGTAATAATATGCAAATAACTAACTCTTACAAAACATTTTTTTATAAAAAAAATTTACAAGCTTTACTTTCTCCTATAAATTCCTTTCTTCTCCCTTAAAATATGTTTTAGTCTTCAGGTTCTCCTATTTAGAATCATTTCTATAATATCTTATTTTTCGATAAGTAATATATGTTCTTTCGACAGCTTGTATAGTATTTGGAAAACTGACATTATGATGGTTCTTGAGAGTTCTTTAAGTCTATTGTAATCTGCAGGATGAATATGTCACCTTCCCTTCATTAGGCTTGACTCCCACTTCTCGCACACTACACACAAGAGAAAGTGAAATTCTCTCAGCACATATATGCTGTTATAGGGATTAAAATAGCCTTGTCTGGTGGAGAAAATGTTACCAGGTAGCCTTAATGAATCTCATGAAGTCGATTAACTTTAAACCCAATTAACCATTAACCTTCACGATAATGAGAAACACCTTCTTTTACTAATACTTATAACAGAACCCCTCCTCCTCAGTATACTCATTGTGTTTATGTAATGTATTTATAGGACTGACAATGCCTCCGATGGGTGAAAAAATGCCTTAATAAGTATCTCATTAATTTGCATGAATCCGTTTTCCTAACTATTTACGGTATTTCAGCCAATTATTAAACATCCTAGTTAACTCAGAACTAACCATCACAGAACGTTTAAAACTTCTTGGGTTCTCTTTGAGCCCCAATCCTCTTCCAGGGATTATAGCATTGTTCTGTTCATGGCCTTCATCAGTTGACATTGCATATGAGCTGTTTTCTAAATAAATAAACTTATATTTTTAAGTTCCGCCTCGTTATCAAGCTGAATTTCTGATAAAGGAACCGAGTCTTGTTTGTGAGCAAGTAACCATCTGGCGTAATTGGCTAGACTTTGTGAAGAAAATAATGAAACTATTTTATTCACTGATTCAACTTTGAGGCGCAAATTCCCAAAGTGCATACCATGTAAACGTATGATAATATAAGTAATATAGACAAGATAATGTAAGTAATTAACAAACACGGAAGCAAGCTAGCTAAATAAAGCGTGTGAACTGTTATCTGATGACAGAAGAATTCATGTGATAGTATGCAATGGTACTGAGTCCAAGCCATTGTTAATAGTTACTTTCACGGTCATTAATTTTCACTTTATTGTGAAATGACCGAGACTGGAAATATATTCTTAGAAGCAAATTCTTTCCGTGGATGTATTAATATGTGTACCTCTCGTGAGACTGGAATCCAAACGGGAGGAGATTGAAATTAGTTCTTGAGCTTTCCACTTCCACAAAGTAATCGCAATAAAACGTGTGATTGCAAATGCAAACAATTATCATAGTGAAAAAAAAAATTGACGCTTTTACGTGCTTCCACACACACATCGTTAGAAGAATATTAAGAAGGGGCAAGAGAAGTTTTTTCTTTATTTTATTTTTTCATTAACACAGCGACCGTCTCCCACCAAGGCAGGGTGGCCCAAAAAAGAAAACATTCATCATCATTCACTCCATCACTGTTTTGGCAGAGGTGTGCTTACACTACAGTTATAAAACTGCAACATTAACACCCCTCTCTCAGAGTGCAGACACTGTACTTCCCATCTCCAGGACTCAAGTCCGGCCTGCCGGTTACCCTGAACCCCTTCATAAATGTTACTTTCTTCACACTCCAACAACACATCAAGTCCTAAAAATCATTTGTCTCCATTCACTCCTATCTAACACGCTCATTCATGTTTGCTCGAAGTTCAAGCCCCTCGCACACAAAACCTCCTTTACCCCCTTCCTCCAACCTTTCTTAGGCCCTTCCCTGGAGTTTACCTGAAGTTTACCTGGAGAGAGTTCCGGGGGTCAACGCCTCCGCGGCCCGGTCTGTGACCAGGCCTCCTGGTGGATCAGAGCCTGATCAACCAGGCTGTTACTGCTGGCTGCACGCAATCCAACGTACGAGCCACAGCCCGGCTGGTCAGGTACCGACTTTAGGTGCTTGTCCAATGCCAGCTTGAAGAAAGCCAGGGGACTATTGGTAATCCCCCTTATGTATGCTGGGAGGCAGTTGAACAGTCTCGGGCCCCTGACACTTATTGTATTGTCTCTTAATGTGCTAGTGACACCCCTGCTTTTCATTGGGGGGATGTTGCATCGTCTGCCAAGTCTTTTGCTTTCGTTTTGAGTGATTTTCGTGTGCAAGTTCGGTACAAGTCCCTCTAGGATTTTCCAGGTGTATATAATCATGTATCTCTCCCGCCTGCGTTCCAGGGAATACAGGTTCAGGAACCTCAAGCACTCCCAGTAATTGAGGTGTTTTATCTCCGTTATGCGCGCCGTGAAGGTTCTCTGTACATTTTCTAGGTCAGCAATTTCACCTGCCTTGAAAGGTGCTGTTAGTGTGCAGCAATATTCCAGCCTAGGTAGAACAAGCGACCTGAAGAGTGTCATCATGGGCTTGGCATCCCTAGTTTTGAAGGTTCTCATTATCCATCCTGTCATTTTTCTAGCAGATGCGATTGATACAATGTTATGGTCCTTGAAGGTGAGATCCTCCGACATGATTACTCCCAGATCTTTGACGTTGGTTTTTCGCTCTATTTTGTGAAAGGAATTTATTTTGTACTCCGATGACGTTTTAATTTCCTCGTGTTTACCATATCGGAGTAATTGAAATTTCCCATCGTTGAACTTCATATTGTTTTCTGCAGCCCACTGAAAGATTTGGTTGCTGTCCGCCTAGAGCCTTGCAGTGTCTGCAATGGAAGACACTGTCATGCAGATTCGGGTGTCATCTGCAAAGGAAGACACGGTGCTGTGGCTGACATCCTTGTCTATGTCAGATATGAGGATGAGAAACAAGATGGGAGCGAGTACTGTGCCTTGTGGAACAGAGCTTTTCACCGTAGCCGCCTCAGACTTTACTCTGTTGACTACTACTCTTTGTGTTCTGTTTGTGAGGAAATTATAGATCCATCTACCAACTTTTTCTGTCATTCCTTTAGCACGCATATTATGCGCTATTACACCATGGTCACACTTGTCGAAGGCTTTTGCAAAGTCTGTATATATTACATCTGCGTTCTTGTGAAGGCTTACTCAGCTCTGTAACAACTTCAGACAGTATTACCAAAGCTGGCTCCTCCTCAGGAAAATTAATGAATTGAAAAAGAACAAAAACTGACAAACATAAACACTTTATTATTTAGAAAATACAAAATATAAAACACTTAAATATGAAATATTAATCCTATATTAAAGAAAATTAAAAATTAAAAACATAAATGATAACTGAATTCAACGCTAATATAAAACTTGGGTGTCTGGTGTTGGTGACACTGCTTGTTGAAATCGTAGCCGTTGCCGATGATGGGGGGGGGTCGCAGGTGTTGGTGACAACCCACCGGCTCGTTCTTCACAGTATAGCCTTGAGTATTCTATCCCGATGAGAGGAAAACAGGTTCTTTACAGCTGCAATGATGAGGGGTTACGTCCTGCAATTTCATACAGGTGCACAGGTAATTAAATCCAAATAGGGGAAGTCTCAGGACGTTAGTCCATCTCCATCAGTTCTGCTCATTGATTGGCAGGTGACCCTCTCTGTCATCCAAGAGTAGTGCTGGGAGCTGTGAGTCTAGTGATTACTGTTTGGACCGGAGCCCCACACGTCACCTTTCGGGGGGGGAGGGAAGGAGGGGAAGGGATAGCGGGATCTAGACTGACCCTACCTTAACAAGCAGCCGGCAACCAAACTATCACTTTCGGGGTGGGGGAAAAAAGGCGGGAATAGTGGGAGCTAGACTTGTCTTACCTTAACAAGTAGCTGGCAAGCAAACTATCACTTTCGGGGAGGGGGAAATAAGGCGGGAATAGCGGGAGCTTGACTTACCCTACCTTAACAAGTAGCCGGCAATGAAACTATTGTTACTATATACTCCCTTGCTACTCCTACCTATTGAACTTTTCCCTCACACTCCCCCATGCCAAGAAGTATAAGAAGAATAGGCGAGGAAAAAGTTCTAACATATGGAAGTCGTGTAAGGCAACAAATCTTCTACTGACTGTCACGACTTAACCAGTCAGAGAAATAATTGGATGAACCATTGATATACACAATATGGAACTTAAAAGCCAGGAGTGCCAATGTCCACCTCAAGAGGCGACTGTTGGTTCCCTTAAAAGTTTCTAGGTATATCAAAGGTCTGTGGTCCGTTTCTAAAATGAATTCTTTTCCCAGCAAATAAAATTTAAGTTTGGAGATACCCCGCACAAGAGCCAAACATTCCTTTTCTATGGTGGAGTATCTCGTTTCTGTGGGAAGGAGTTTCCGGCTTAGGAAGCATACAGGGAAGGGAGTACCATCATGATATTGTAGTAACACCGCCATAAGCCAGTATTGGAGGCATCAGTTCTTAAAACAAATGTTTTATTAATATCTGGAATCTTAAGTATAGGGTCTTTTGAAAAGATACTTTTAATCTCATTAAACTTTCCCGAGCTATGTCGGAAAGTTCAAGAAGTTCCTTCACAGACTTTTTAAGGAAGTCGGATAAGATGCCTGTAAGATCAGTAAGGTTCGGGATAAACCGTGCATAAAAATTTACAGAACCAAGAAAGCTATGCATGAGCTTCTTGGTTTTGGGGAATTT